ATATGGATCTCCCTTCAAATGAATCTCTCAAGGGTTGGAACACGTCTTCAGGGAGACACAGGACCTGATGCTGTTATCGAAGATGTTTCTTGAGCATCCCCGCCTGGGCAAAGTGTCTGTGACACTCCGTACAAGCTAACGAGGCCTGAGGCTGCGGTGGCGTTGGCGGAACGAATGCATTCATGTCACACTGTGGGTATGCAGGGCTAAGCGTGCAGACATCCGGTTGCGGCTCAGCGGACTCCATCATTGGGCGTGCTTTGAATGCCAGAGCGGTGGTCAACTTACAATGATGTTCAGCTATATATGTCCATGGAGGTTGAACTGCCAGTCGATGGAAGAAATTAGTGGTGTTTTCATGTGTGAGATGGACAGGAGAGTCTGCCATGCGACGATAGTGAACATTAATTATACTGACAATTCGTTTACAGCATGAGAGAGGCAGACCCATTTCGTGAACACCGTAAAGAACAATGGGCACAACACATTGCTGATATAAACGAAATCGAACATGTGCAGGAATGGATTGTGCCTGGAGCCATCGCTTCAGGATCGAATAGCAGTGTTAAGCTGCTTTGACTCGTCTGGCTGTGGTGTCAATTTCCCAAGCTCTGTATCCTATTATCACACCGAGATACGCTGTTTTGGCCACCATCGGCAGGCGAAAAGGTGTGTCCGGGATCACAAGCTGTGGGCCATGTTTGGTCCGGCTGATCCATTGGCGTGTGAATTTGGAGACCCCCTTACCTACCGCTCTAAAAAGAACAATACTCTTGGTGGGATTGATGTTGAACCCAAACGAGCGAAAGGTGTGCAGGATGTGTGCAAGATCTCCAAGGGCGTTCAAGCCGTCCGCAATGCTGTGCAACGTCCAACGGATGTGGACATCATCTGCATATACGATCAGGTGCTCGTGCAGCCATTCATGGGAGTACCTCTGAAGAAATTCTTTCATGATTAGAAAGATACAGAGGGTCCAGAGGATGGGAACATCAATGGATCCTTGTTTGATCCCTCTAGAAGCATCGATTGACCCAATCAAGGATTTGAAGGGGATGTGATACTTGTGGGGGGCCAATCAAGTCTGAATCATATGCAGAACATCCGATGATAGGTTGATTTGGTCCAAGGCATGGAGCACGAGGTCGCGGCGGACCGTGTCAAAGGCCTTTTCCATGTCCAATGAGACCTGGAGGCCACCGAACAGTTCCTGAGGACTTGCATCCTGCTGTCTATCACGACAAAGCTGTCGAATTTGCTGGCAGTGCTGTGAGACTCGAAGGAGACATTCTGTGGTGCCTCTCTGCGGGAGGTATGCATAGAGTGGTAGGCTTCTAAGGGTTGGATAGGCATGTTGTTTAATGATGCTGGTTAAGATTTTGGAGACTACCTTGAGAACTGGATGCTGGAGGCAGAGGGGCCTCAGTGCAGCAGGCTGAGTGCTAGATTTACCTGGTTTGGATATCAAGTGCAACCATCCATCTAGCCAATGACTCGGTGGAGCCACAGTGTCTGCACACAAGTAGTGTTCTAAGGCAACATGGATCGGTTTCGCCAGTTCCGGTGCAAGGTGGCGCCAAATGATGGCGGGCATGCAAGGGGGGGGCCAAAGCTTTCATCTCAGGTAAGTGGTGAAGGCCATTCAAAACATCTTCGCTGGTGAAAGGAAGGATTTGGAGGGTGACATTACCTGGATATTGAAAGGAATGATCCTAAAACAGTTGGCCAAAGAAGTGCTCAATGCATTTGAATTCAAGTGAGGGGGTGAATGGTTGTCCTTGATCATCAAACATCTGGATCTTCTGAGGTCGTTGCTTGGGGCACAATTTACAGACCTTGCAAACCAATCATACATCTAATTACGCATGGCCAAGTCAGCACCTTCCTGCAGGAAGTCTTCAAATTTCTGGCGCTTGTTCATGCGGCTGAAATGACGAATTTGCTTGTGGTATCTGCGAAACAAAGCCAGGTGTTTCCATGCCTTGAAAAGCATTGCAAGCAAACGATCAATCAGTGCTCTCACAACTTTCCTGGCCTGCCACATACGTGCAGTGATGGAAGCAAGCGGGTTGCAAACAACCGGCAGGGAGATTTGTTTGGGGAACCAAGTCTTGCATAAATCAGTCAAAGTACTCTCTAGTTGAAGAAACAAAGACGGGTTTTGTGCAGTGAACGAAAACAAGTGTTGCCTGGCCTCCCAACAGAATCCCTACCACCGTGATGTGTTCTGCTTCATTTCCTGTCGAATACGATGGCGGTCGAAAGGACAATCGGTTTGGGTCGAGGACCAGGATATCATTTAGGAATGGTCCAAATTAGGGAATGATGATGTGGTCCTAGAAGGTCAAAGCTGAAAACGAAATCTGTGAACAGTTAGGGTGAGGTCAAAGGCCAACTAATCTCGCATCAATGCAAAGTCGATTCGATTAGAATAAGTGCCATGTTTAAATATCGGCTGAAAATAATCATAACAGTGAAGTGCAGCTAGGTCGAACTGCTGGATCAGATTGGAAAACGTCAATTTGTCTCGCTAGGCAGCTTAGACATATTTAGGATCAGCAGTATGTACTTTATATGGCATGTGTGGGAGAGGAGTGTTAAAATCTCCACAAACAATAACCTGATTGCTAAGTAGCAAACGTTCAAAATAATATTATAGGTGCTACCACACATGTTGCCGTTTTAAAAGGATCTAGCGTGTGACATGTTACATAGACCAAGCTATTAGTAAACGATTACAAAATCATGTAAACGATGAAGGTTCAATCGTATCTAAAACATACGTCCATGAATATGTATGCAATCGAAATTTAATCCTATCTAACCAATGCAGTGCGCACCATAAACAAGAAAGAACAAAAGCGATAAGCTAAATATACGATATATCGACGCTAAGTACTCCATTCCTTAGTCATTAACCAACCGAATTCCTAGACAGCGATAATACCATAGAGGCTATCATCATACCATTACAACCATAAATAATATTCGCTCGTACGGGATACATTCCATTAAATTATCGAAATGCTTAAGTGATGTAAATACTAATTTTATCATTCGAAATTATAAGATATTAATAAAGATATATTATTTAATACGAAATAGGATTTAATAAGGATATAGTTATTTGCCCTTGAAAATAATATATCCTTCCCTTATAGCTTTAACACAAATTCTAATATAATAATGCTTTAAACTAATGCATCGTAAACGTAACCCAATAAAGTTAAAGTCCGACGACGCCCATACCTCATAACATTTTATAAAAGTGCCTTATAGGTTTCGTAGAATATTATTCCCTAAGACCGGATCGATAATCCTCGCGTCGAATCCTCGAAATTAAATATATTTCGGTAAAATTAGAAAATTCTCCGGACTTAAAACCGAACAATTCAAATAAACAAAAACTAACGCAATCGAAAACCAAAATAACGATATATAAGAGAACAATAAAAACTCCATACAACAATAATCGAAACATAACGCCGCCCCAGGAGTCCGAAATCGCGCGCTACTTTCAAATTAAAATAGCGCTTTACAATATATACATATATATATTAAAATAACTTATTACATTCAATTATAATATATATATAATGTTTTTAATTTATATAAATACATCTCATCGATTATATCATAATTAAATATATTTTAAGCCTTAATTCAATAAAATAAATAATATATATTTAATTATATATATATAATTAAAATACATTCATCAAACAATCAATATCCAAACCAATATATATACGCCCACATCATTAATATTTACAATGCAAAAGATAATGGGTCCTTACGAAAGATCTAAGAATTTCAGATATGTTGCGTTACCATTTTACAAAAGCCTTTACAATTTCCTTAAATTTAGATGGATGGGTGTCTTTGAAGGATAAATATTTCCACCAATATACAAGCCATATACAAATCTTCGATGATCCTGACAACATACCAGCACTTATTCATGCAGCAACTTTTTGTGACCATTCACATCAACGTGACCAATTTTGGCATGGGCAGAAAGGCAGTAGCATGCACAGGTTTTTATCCTGACAAGATGGCACAATACATTATTCAAAACTGAAAGACAGAGATGTTATGTTCACAAAATCAACCACAGGTTATATATTCAAGGTTTATACTTAATGTCACCCTTGTAGGACCTTGAGCCTAGTGCGGCACTGGAGGAGCTGAGAGCTTTGGAGATTATTTTTCCGGTAGAACAGGAAGTAATATTTTCGGATATCAGAACGACAGAATCTATGGAGATTGGTAAGGACGAATCAACATATAAAATAACATAATACAGCAACGAGCGAAAACAATCGCAACCAAGGTTGGACATTTCAGAGAGAGCGTAGAATATTTTCGCGACTTCACTGTTCAGCCGGACACCCATCAAACAGAAGTTTGGCTAGATTGATTCGAGATCGAACATTCCCGGCGCCTGGTTCGAGATCCACAGTGTGTAGCAATTCAACCCGATCAGATGATTCATAGATCGATCGGAGAACAACCACGACCTTGGCAAATGGTAGGAATAGACGTCTTTGAACCTGCTTTCCCTGAACAACAAACGAAGACAAGGTTCTTGCCAATGACTCGTTTAGCAATGAAATTTGTTGCAATAGCCCATCTTTGGATAGGTGGATAGGTAATATTTCAGACACAGGTACCGATGCTGGCGAGAAGATCATCAGTTGGCGCATAGGCCACGTCCAGAGTGGATTTTGGTCGATGCACAATGACATTTGATACATGGAGATTTTCCACGGTTTTTGCACACTACAGGTATCGGTTTAGTAGCAGCTCCTGGTGAGGGACGCTGGATTCATGATAAAACAGAAACAATTGTAAAAGTGATCAAACGCACTATGCGCCGAATTCGACATGAACATCCTATATTGCCCCCAAGCATTTTGTTATATAACTACTATATCGACCTAAAGCCGTTCGGCCGTCAATGCGGCAATGGTTCACTGCAAACACTTTCCCATGTATCCTTTTCTATTGGGTTGGAGGCCAGAAGCTAGTAGCTTGTATCCGATACGTCAGGCTGTTCAAACGATGTGTGATGACTTTGGAAGCCAGGGCAGGTTGCAAAACGCTTGGCGCACAGCCTGGACCCTGGCTTGAGATCTGAAAGCCCAAGGTAGCAACTCACCTTTGTGAGCGCATACCAAAAGCACAGCAATAGTTCTTCGATGAAACCAGTCGGACACAGAGAATGGAATCTAGAATCAATCTCAAACGGCATGCTCCTCTATACATGTCTGGATGTTTGGCTTGATCACATCATTTCCGAAAGCGTCGGCCCTCGGTCAAGCACCCATTCATGCATCTGCTTCACCTGCTTCAAAGGAAGAGTTGGCTCGGATGCAGAAAAGCTCGGATGCAGAAACCAAGCGTTTCCGGGTCAAGGACATGTGAGGTGACTGAGGTAGAAACAAAGACCCGCCACTTGATGTGATTGAAAACCAATTCAGTACCTAATCCTACTAAGCTAATATATAGAATTTTGTCTAAATTGCATTCCATACAAGAATCATTGACGATAAAACATGCACTTCCTTGGTGCTTGCTGGAAACACACTCTCTTTCATGTATTGTGATCGGTTAGTCCAGATTGTATGTCATCCACCAAAAACCTACAATTCAAACAACATCAATATCCTGCATCACTGGCATCACTAAAGGCTGGAACGTCATTTTTGGCCTGTTGATCCTCCTCGATCTCGTCCCTTTGGGACTGCTCGGATTGATCCTGGGAGCTCTGAGGACACCGAAATGAACCCGTCGAGGGGTTTTTCGGCGGAATGAACCTATGAGGTGCAATTGAGGCGGAGAAATGCGGAGAACCCCTGAAGACATTCCTGAAGTGAAGCTGCGTGAAGCTACAGCTTCCAAGCTCTGGACTCGTCTCTTTCATGCGTTGTGCGCTTCAGCGCCGTCTTTGAAGCGGTCTTGAATCGGATGCTTCGCCACGCAGAATCGCGCCGCCTTTCACACCACCTTCCCGAAATGGCTCCAGGGCACCAGGTCGTGGGGCACCAGCTCCTGGTCATTGAAACTGAATGGTATGCTCCTCAGCTGCGCAGCACCGGGCAGCTCACTCATCTTCCCTTTCCCAATCCCACCAAGTAGTGGGTCGGACAAACCGAGAAATAGATGAAAACTGGTATTTGGTCTTCATTTTCGGGGGCGGATAGGTACAGACTGATCCAACGCCTGCGGAGAGGTGACGTCCACACACATCCCCTGAACTCCAAACTCCTCCCCCCGAAACGGCAGAAGCGGGTCGAAGCGGTTTCAACTAGACTGACATTGACCTGCATTGTTTTTTTGGTGATCTCATAGCATCTGAATCATCTTGTGATGGGTTTTCAACTGCCCCACCTCCGAAAATGCCTAGGATCTGCATCTCAGGCGTCGCGAAGCCGCTGTGACGGCTGGCCACATTCAGACTAATGCGCCGGTGAAAGCGGTACTGCTCAGTAGTGTCAGGAAACACATCCTCAGACAGTCTCATGAGGTTCCTTCGGAGAACGAAGACATTCTCTTAATGGGGTACAGCAGGCCTCACCTGTGGAGGCCATCGCTACTAGGTTGGAGGCCATTCCTATTGGGTTGGAGGGCATCGCTCTTAGGTTGGAGGCCATCGCTCTTAGGTTCCTTTCGCTATTGGGTTGGAGGTCATTGCTTAAGGAGCCATTTGATCCAAGGATGGGGCCATCCTTTTTCGTTGCAATTGATGGATCACTGAGTACGAAATGAACCAGTGTGAGAAAACGTGACCAAACAAACATGTCAATACCACACCACAAACATGGGGCAGTGTTTAGCAACAGCCGAGAAGCTAAGTAGTCGGTGCTTTTCTGAGACCTTCTTCGCCCATCCCCGAAACACACAGGCCTTCCTTCCATCGTGGACGTGTTTCTTTTTTTCAGTGGAAGGCCTGATGGTCTGCAATTCTTTACCACTGGCCATTACATTAAACCTGAGCTGGCGGAGTTGAAAACATGCCGCAACCTGTGTCAGGTGAGGCGTGTGAACCAAGAATGTCAGCTCATACTGACAAAAAGACTTGTTCAAATTCTTGGACACCTCTTCATCTCAAGTTAACCAATGCAAACATCAGTTTGCTCTTACGTCGCTTTTCTTCACCCCGTCTGACCGTCACAAAGAACCGACCACCTGGGATGGTCCAAAGAAATCCGAGGATCCATGGACATCAAAGTGATGACGTCCTTAATCCTCTCCAAGTCATAGTTGTTCATTTCACAAAGCCTTTTTTGAAGGTAAAAGGCTTCAATCTTCAGGAGCTCCGTGGCCGTGTGTCGCCTTACACTGGCCAGGACCCGTCGAAACGAGAGGTCAAGCAGCCGAAGGCCAAAAAGAACTGAAATGGAACGAAGGATCTACCCCTCCTTCTACACAAACAGAGTGATGAATAGCTGACACTTTTGAGGATGATACTCCGAAACCAAAAAAGCGGGAACCCTGGTGTTCATTGAGCAGCCCTCAATGCCAAAGGGCAATGCTTGTGAGATCTTGGTCACATTGGCACTGCCGAGATTGAGCACTCCCGTTCCTGCAGGGAACGGGTCAGTCCGGACACTGCCCAACAAGCGAGGAGCTGAGGACCTGAGGAGCTACAATCGGTCGGCATCTCGGTTTGTTTCACCCGTCTTGGAACGCTTCTCCTCTCCCTTCTCCACTCTGGTCCATGGTTCTCCTCTCCAGTCCTGAACCTCCGCAATAGCTGGAAATCACTGCCACGATGCAAACGATCGCAGTCAGCAACAAACATGCAGCTTCCAAGGCAATGATCCTCGGATAGCTCAGCATTCCCCGTTGAATGTGGATGTTATTGATGCAAAGTCAATCTTGCACCTCCCCAAAAAGGTCCATCACCGTGCCCTGCACCCTGTGATATTGGTTTTCTTATTATGCTTCCTTATGTTTTCTTCATCTATCATGCTGCTCTGCTGTCGTTGTGCGAGCTCAAAGCACCAGAGGTCAGGTAGATCTTGAACACGTCGACACGTCGATTCGATTTCGCCAAGAATCGCCAATGAAAAGCCCTCTGTGAATTTGGTCTCCGATTCAGTTGTAAAGTGCGGAGATTGGTTGACTAAGAGCAGCAAACAGCTACCTGAGCTTGGCCAAAAGAACGAAGGTGGTCCGAAGAACGGAGCCATGCCGATCCCAACTGAGCCGAATGAAAGGATCCGATGCTTAGCTTTCGCGTGGCTTCTCTCACTGGTGCCTTCGAAAAGAATCGAAAAACCCTCCCAGGAATACCTTTCATATCCTTTCATGATGGGTTTGCGGATTCCACGGTTTCTGAGTATTCAAATGCATTGAGCTTGGAGACCCCTCTAAGCTCCGCATGTTCACGGCATGAACCTTTGACGGCTCGTTCGAATGAACCTTCGACCATCAACCCATTAAGGTTGTCGGCTTTCTTGAAGTCTCAACTGACTAGTAGCTCCTGGCACTACTACTAGTAGCAAAAAGCTAGTAGCGATGCACTTGTTACCAGTGTTTTCGAATTGAGGACACACCAAAGGAACTAGTAGCAAGCGGACCCGAACAAGGAGACCCATTGATGAGCGGATCCCCTAAGTGCGATGTCTCTAGCGACTCTAGTAGCGATTTGACAAGAAAAACCAACCAGTTGGACCCAAAATGCACAAGGCAGCATCTGCATAGTTGAGGATCACCGCCTTCCATGGCCACATTCGCACCATCGTGCACAGGTAGCAAAGGATCATGAGACTCGCGAGCGCCACCTGCCTTGATGTTGAAGCAAGTCTGACCAACTAAGCGACCGTCAACTGTGCGCATTGGCCCCCCCCTCAAAATTAACAGGTTCAGATTGAAATCCCCACTTTGCCTCAGATTCCTTCGTTTCTTCATAGAGAGCTTTGCGTCGTTTTTGTTAGACATATCCTTTCACAATCTTTCACACCTGGGTCCATCTCGTGGGTTTTCTGCTTGCGGCGGCCATGGCGATTCGCCCCTAGGAGAACGACCCACCGTGCTTACTCGTTGACTTGCTTACTCAAGCGCGTGGATCACATACCTCACATACCTATCGAAAGTCGGTTTCTGTCCCATCCAGCGACTCTCTTTGGATAGGACAATAAAGGCACCAAAGAATTCAGACTCGTGATTCCAGCAGCTTCAGTTGGACTCTTTTCTTCGGGTATTTTGGTGAAACTCCAAGACTTCAACACCAACTTTCGCAAACAGATCGGCTTACTCGCATTCTTTAGGACATGCTCCTGACATGCTCCAAACCCTAGCAAACCCTCCTACGAAAAGTCATCGATACCCAGATCCTTCGGCTCTGATCCCGGATCGTGTATGGATCACTTCTGCCGCTCGCTGGATCGTGGGACCTAGGACGGAATGTTTTTTCTAAACCGGGTCAATTCATGGAACTCTGCCCTTCTGCCAATTCCCTTGCCCCCGCTTAAATCCCAAGCCATCCTAAACCCTGCAAACGCGTGGCAGCTCTGGCTGATCAGTGGCCAAGACCACCACCATGCTGAGGACAAATCCTCGGATGGGCCTCGGAAAGTGTACAAAGCGCGCAAAACAGTTGCGCCAGCTCTGTGCAAACATAGAGTACCACCCAGGTCACCCCTGGTTCAATCTATGGTCCAAGGTAGACAATTACAGCACATTAACCAAGTAGACCAAGTAGGAACGAAGACCAGTGGCTCTCGTGCCTTAGGGATGTACATGTGTTTTTTTGGCGGCTTAGCTGACACACTCTGACAATTGTATTCAGTTAACTCAGTTACCACGCAGGGAAGGAAGGTGAAGGAACGGAAAGGTGCATGAGTCCGCAGAAAAG